TGAAACTATGCTGGTGAACAGCCCAATACGTTTAGATAAGATCTTATATTCACGAGTCCTAGCTCAATGCAAAATGATATATTACATAAAACAAAATAATCACGGGTTTTGCCATCGATAATTTAAGATGGGATGCGTAAAATACACTTTATTTTATATATGTGTAGTGGCCTTATTGACGTTGGAGACTTCATTTGAGGCAACATGTATTTATTACAGACGCTTCAATTACAGTGGCGAATCTGATACTTGAAGAGGTAATGGCCTCTTGACCCGTACTCTATAGAGGGAAAGTTCCCTGAGCTTTAGCCCATGCTAGCTCCCTGGTTCCCTCTATCCTGGTCCTCTCTCAGGAGGCTTACTGACCTGGCCCAGCTTCGGCGCAGGTCCCGATCATCAGCCACACGAGTCCGGCCCTTAGAAGGACATCGGGCCTCGCGGCTCTGGTGTAGCACCATGGCTTGCTTTGCCCGGCCCTCAAAAGGACAGCGGGCCAAAGGAGTTCCAGGGTCCAGCTAGTCGATCTTCTTTCTTCACTGGCTCTTCATCTTGCTTGAGTCGAACTGCCTCTCAGCTCGCCGGGTCCCACCTTTTATACTGTCCCTCACTGAAGGGTGGGGCTGGGAGGGATCACAGGATCCCCCACAGCCCCCAGGGTGGTGGCCGTAGCGGACGTGTTTGTGGCCACCATTATACAACCGCGTGTCACCCTCCCATAACACCTCTACATCACCCCCCCCTGTACAGCCCGCAGCCGTCCCGGCGGCAATAACATTCAACAATAAAAAAAATATATGCTTAACAAGAACCCGAATTGCGTGTGCCTCAATAACAAGAACAGAACAACAACAACAACAATAAATTACCCCAATCCACCTGTACAAATAGACACTATGCACAATATATACAAATTTTTTTATCTCTCCCCCCCCCCCCCCTGGTATGACGCAACCCGACCGACCCGACACGTAGTTTGTGAGGAGAAGAAGAACGCCCAAACAGTGAGCAACCATCCCTCACGAAAACCGGCGTGATTTAGCACGAGTCCGACTGGCTGGCCCGTCGTATGAGGCACGGAATGGTTGTTTGGGGGTTGAGGCAGGCAGCCCCTGAGGGCACAGTGTGAGCTGCCTGGTTCCACGTTCATTGTCCGGCTCCGGTGGTCGATGCGCTTTGTCAGCCGTCAATTCCGGTGTGCCTGGAAGTGGAACAGGCAGTGGCATGTGGGGATCAGGCGATGGTACCACATTCCCTGAGTCGACGGACACATCACATGCTCGGCCCCTAGGACATCCATGGTAGGTATGCGGTGAAATGAACGGTTTTAGTCGTCAGGGTGGAACATACCATAGCCGTTTCCCCCACTTAATCCGAACACATTGTGGTCGTGCGACCTGCACAACCTCAACCGGCCCTCTCCATGGCTTGAGCAGTTTAGGGGATGTTGCCAGCGGTCCTTGCGGACAGTGTAGCCAGGCCTTATCACCAGGCTTCCACCCATGGGTGTGTGTGCCGTGTGCATGCAACCGCTCGTTCGCCACTTGGCGAGAGCTTGAATGCTGTGCCACAGCTTCCCGTGCCTCGGCCAATTTCAAAAGGTTGAATTTGACATGATCGGACAACTTGGATTTAGGGTGGGGCACCGAAATCCCCAACTGGGCATCCACGGGCGTATCAGCATCTCTGCCGTACATCAGGAAGAAGGGGGAATACCCAGTTGCCACGTGGGAAGCCATCCGATAGGCGGCAAGAACACCCGGGATTTGGAGGTCCCAATCCACCTGAGACTCGCACACCTGATGGCACAGCATGGACGTGAGCATCCTGTGGAGCTGCTCCACCATCCCGTCCGTCTGCGGGTGGTACGGGGAGGTACGCACTTTCTTCATACCCAACAGGTCGCACACCTCATGCAGTAGGGAGCTCGAGAATTTTTTTCCCTGATCAGTTAGCAGCCATTCCAGTGCGCCTTTGTCTCGGACATAGCCCTGGACAAAGGCCTCGGCGACGGCCGCTGCCAACTGGTTAGCGAGTGGCCAGGCCATGGGCCATCGAGTGAAATATTCGACGCCAACCAGCAGGTACTTATTACCCCTAGGCGTTGCTGGGAATGGCCCCAAAATGTCGAGCGCGACGAGCTCATTGACGTGGGAGACTCGAATAGACTGTAATGATGGACAGGCCGCTTTGGCTGGCGGTTTTTGCTGGGTGCACTGCACACATCCTTTGAGAACAATTGGCACATCCTTATCCATGCCCGACCAGAATAAGTCTAGGCGGAGCATGGCTAGGATCTTGAGCGGCCAGAATGACCCTACCCCGTAAGGCGGACGGCACGATGATTCTGTAATGGAGGGCTTTTCCGTCCAAATTCATAAGGAGACCCTCCCGCATTATCCAAGAATCGACCCCTCTCCGACCCGTCCGTGGAGCCGCCAGCCTTACGACGTAGCGTGAGCAGGGACGTGTCCCCCATTTGGAGCCGACCCCAGTCAGCGAGGGTCAAATTAAGCAACGAATCCCCACCCGTTTGAGAGAGAGAGAGCTATCCAGAGCTGGTGCATTAGCGGCGGCGGCCATAATAGTGGATGGGACAACAAATTTCGGTTTACAACGTCCCGATCCAAGGAAGCATGCACAATCCCTGCCGACGGGCAGTCGCGACAGGGCATCAGTGTTTGTATGGCGAACGCCCTTCCGGTAAGTGGTCGTGAATTGGTAGTCCTGCAGGACTTCCAACCATCGAGACAGTTGTCCCGATGGCTGGTCAACACGGAGTGCGTATTGTAATGCCACATGGTCCGTACGGACAGTGAAGTGCCGTTCGTAGAGATACGGCCGATACTGTTGGATAAAAATAAAGATAGCCAATAGTTTGTGATGGGTAATGCAATATCGCTGTTCTGCCAGTGATAAAACCCTGCTGCCGTAGGCGATGACGCGTTCAACTCCTCCAACAACCTACGAGAGCACTCTGCCAATGCCGGTGTTACTGGCATCCGTGTCGAGCAGAAAGCGTGCAGTGAAATCAGGATAACACAGGGGCGGAGCACTCACGAGGGCATCCCTGAGGGAGCAGAAGGCGGCCTCCTCCTCAGGACCCCAGCAAAATTTTACGTCCTTTTGCCGTCAGAGCGTGGAGGGGCTTGGCTATGGTGGCAAAGTGTGCGATGAACCGCCGATAGTATGAGGCAAACCCTATGAAGCTACGGACCTCACTGACCAAAGTGGGCGTGGACCAGGAGCTGACGCACTGAGTTTTAGCGGGATCAGTGGAGATACCTGAACGACTCACTATGTGCCCCAAATACCGCACAGATTCCCGGAGGAGGTGGCACTTCTGTGGCTTAAACTTTAATTTAGCGGACTGCATTTTTAGGAATACTGCCCATAGACGTTCGAGGTGTTCCTCGAACGTCCGGCTGAACACGACATCGTCCAGGTAAATCAAACAGAGGCCACAGTTGTAGCAGGTGACGAGGGCTGACGATGGTCTTAGTTGCTACAGCTTGTGCATCAGATGCTGAGGCCACCCGACCTCCAATCCCCCGAACGAGTCGCAGTGAAGACCTCCGATGGCTGGGCGTCTTGGGGCTCGCTGCGCTCCGAGGTGGAGGCGGCGGCGATGAGAGGCCGGTTGTGCTTCAGGACCTCGCCGGGAGGGTGCGCAGCACCTCATCATCGGACCAGCCCGACATCTCTTGGTGGGCGAGGAAGCGTCGTTCGAAAGCTCCCCAGTCACCTCTTTCAGCTGTCAACGCTGTTAAAACGGGCAGTCACTGCTGAAACGTCTGCTCCGTCGCTTGCCGATGATGATCCCATACAGCACTGTCATACAGTGCAATGGCGGCCCCCTCCGTAGGTTGCAGCGCTTCTGGCCCGGAGATTTCTGGTTGGCTACGGCTGTGCCCGTCGCTTGGGGATGACGTGGCGAGCGGTGGTTGGGTGCCGCCTCCCACGTGGTGTGCCCGGCTCCCGCCACCCCCAGAGTCCACCTCGTAAATGGTGGCAATTTCAATTTGCGGCACCGTGTTAATGGCGGGAACGGTCGTTTGGCGCCGATTCTCCCCCCTCTCTCCCGCCCCTGCTCCTCTCATTTGGGTAATTTCTTCTAGTATGGAGGCGGCGGCGAGCAGTAATTTGGCGAGGCGGGAGTGAGCATCCCGAAGCCCACCCCCCGACTGTGGCGGCGTGCCCGGCGGCTGCTATGGCTTTTGAAGTGCCGGCATTGCCCCAGACTCCATCTCCAATTCCCGCGGACCCGCCTCTGCAGGGTCGTCAAATTGGCCTGGTTCGTGCGCACGAACTGTGTTCCTCGTGTCCATCTCGTGCAGGTAAAAACCACTTCTGACCCCAGTTGTAGTGGCCTTATTGACGCCGGAGACTGTTCATTTGAGGCAACGTATTTATTACAGACGCTTCAATTACAGTGGCGAATCTGATACTTGAAGAGTACTCTATATAGGGAACGTTCCCCGAGCTTTATGCCACGCTAGCTCCCTGGTTCCCTCTATCCTGGTCCTCTCTCAGGAGGCTTACTGACCTGGCCCAGCTTCGGCGCAGGTCCCGATCACCAGCCACACGAGTCCGGCCCTCAGAAGGACATCGGGCCTCGCGGTTCTGGTGTCGCACCCTGGATTGCTTTGCCCGGCCTCAAAAGGACAGCGGGCCAAAGGAGTTCCAGGGTCTAGCTAGTCGATTTTCTTTCTTCACTGGCTCTTCATCTTGCTTGAGTCGAACTGCCTCTCAGCTCCCCGGGTCCCACCTTTTATACTGTCCCTCACTGAGGGGAGGGGCTGGGAGGGATCACAGCATCCCCCACAGCCCCCCAGGGTGGTGGCCGTAGCGGACGTGTTTGTGGCCACCGCCCTACAACCGTGTGTCACCCTCCCATAACACCTCTACATATGTAGAGGCAGAAATGTGAATGATACATATAGTCTGCAGATATATGCTGTTACCTATAGTCTCCACAGTGACACTAATTATTATTTGTACAGGTCAGAAGGAGGATCAAGCCGACATCATATTGAAGAACCAGGTAAACCATATGTACTCAACATATACACGCAGTTCTTTACCTCACTTAGAACATAGCTGTGTGTGATTTGTCAAATTTGCAATGGCTGGGATGAAAAGATAAAGGATTTTAACAACCCGCACTAAATCAGCATGTCAAAGCACGGTCATACAATCCCTATATAACATGAGGAGTCATTTGTGCAATTATTAGACAAGTATCATTTATAATGATAATTGAGTCTCAAGACTCCGAAACTGTCCTGATCATGCACGTTTGGTAGCTTTAGCTATTTCTAAACTATGTTACGCTGTTTATTTAACTGGGAACTAGAGGCCTGAGTACAGAAACAGTGCATAACCCCTACTAAGCAGGAGTTTGCATAGGCTCCGAAAAGTCATCGTGAAAATTCGGGAGGATCTACGTTCGTCCCAGCCACTTTACAAATATGGACATGCATCAGTGGTTGCAAGATCAATAGGCCCGCATAATGTGCATGCATCATGTACTTCGACTTATAAGGGCAGAAGTTTGGTCACCACATCTACGCCTCTATATAAGGAACGACAGTAAAACTTCTCTTCAAATCTGTCTGTCGTCTGATGAAGCTAGTTGTAATTACTGGCGAAACATCGAACTCAGATTGTAAATGTTGTGGCTTGGCTCTCCAACATACCAGCGTGCTGTACTTGTGACGAAATGGCATGTTATGTTTACGTGACAACCTTTACTAGTTGGCTGTGTTGGGTAGAGGCGGGTTTAATGACATATTTACATATTTACGCAAATCTAACCCAAAGAAAGCTCTATTATGGAGTGATTAATTAACTGTAGCCTTTCTTACAGCATAGTATAATTATAAAGGTACATTTAATTAATTTTGTGTAATGTTTATTTGTTTCATTGTTCATTTTGTGTGTTTTATTGCAAGTGTTCCTGTCCCTCGGGACCGAGGATGCCATCGACAGTCATTGGTTGTTATTGTGGGTCTTCATGTAGCTCCATTATATATTTAGACGATCTAACCCAACAAACTTTTATTCCTGTATGAACCACAGTACAGTTGCACCACCTACACACTCAATAATTATGCCACTGCAGTGAGGCACTGACTTCCCCTGTGTTTTTGTTCCCACAGATAAAGAGGAATTCGCCAATGTGAGGAGCATGGTCAAAAACTGGAATTTGACAGGGTGTGTCACGCAGAAACTATGTTGGATAGATGTTCGATGGGAATTAACAAAAACATCACAGCAAGTGCACACTCTGAGAACCGATTTACCAGCCATTGCCAGGCACATGGTCTTGTACAGCCCTTTTGTCAATCCAACACTGGATGAGGGCCTCCCCTGCTGTGCAGCTCATGGGTCTTATCTGACCATACTGTACCAATCCAGCCATTGCGGACTGTGAACGCAGTGAGCATAGAGATGCACGATCATGGAAATACTGTACAGGGTAATGGATTAGATGTAACAATACGCACACATGGGTATTGCATGCGAATGAGTTATCAGCCTTATCCAGAAAGCTTGCAATAACTGAATCTGTTGTCATTTGGTCATTTGTACCACCTACTTAAAGTGTTAATAAAATCTGGACATTCCTTCAAAAAGCCAATAAACAGACCTGCGGACAGGTTTCGTTCTCAGGACTCATGAGTACAGTTTAATAATTAATGTCTGGTGCTGCCACATGCTGCCCACAATGTAGCAGTATAGCCCCTTCCAAGCTCTGTCCTGGCTTAACCTTCAGCTTAGCTTCCAGTGTCCGACAATTGATAACTCAGGGCATATTTCAAGTAGTTTGGTCATCGGCACTTATAACAAAAAGCAGAGTTCTACTGTGCCGTTCAGAATGCTTTTATTGCTCTTACAAATATTCATATGAAGGCCAATGATTCACTTTCACTACACTAAGCTGGATGTTGCAGTGTTGCTGTGCGATGAGAGACAACCAATTGATAATCTTCCTTTATATATTTTGTGTTGCAAACTTTTTATATTTGTAACACAGATATGGGCGATTTGAGCAGAATAAACCAAAGGCCGGGCCTGCGCTTCACACACTCCTACAAACTAGAGGTTGGTTCATATCAAACATATTCCTGTGATAGGTCCTGCACTGCAGCGGTGTTAGGTGTGGGTGACTTGGAAATAGCCCAGTGTAGACACTATTATGCAGCCATATGGGGTCGTCCTTGAGGAATGATTATATGGTTTTGGGACCCCCTAAATATAGACATTAAGCATTTGGTGACGTTGCTGCATGGCCATGCCCCATGCCAGCATTTGGTATCGTACAAAGCGACGGATCTTCTCGGTGCTCTCGCTCGGGCAATGCTCTAAAAAAGACTCCCACTTGGCAGTCCACGTTAAACCATGGTGGAGAGTTACATTTCCCTCAAGTTTAGAAATTAGTAATAAAGGTTGCCATGCCAAATACAATAAAACAAAACAATAGCTTACATTGAAAACGTTTCTATAATGTAACAAATGTCTCATAGTACGGTTATAGAAAGGAAGAAAATGGCAAGGAATGGGAGGGACCAAGCAAGAGAAGGCTAATCACAATATAAATTGAGTGAGACTAAAGTCACACGGGTTTAAAGTTTAAGTTTTGAGGAGCGACCTGAAAGCTGAGAGAGAGGAAACCATTTGTAGTTTCCTGGGAATGCAGTTACAGAGAGTTGGAGAGCATTGATCAGGATAACAATAGTATGATAGCATTAACAATAATGATGGGGAAGTGAGGGATTTGGAGGCATTGGTCCTGATTAAGTAGACCCCGTGCTGGTCCCGGGTAGGCTGAGCACACACCCTGAGGGCCTGGCACCTGCCCTCAGAAACACTGCAAAGGTGCCATACTCTTTGGTTCTATTCAGTAAAGTCACGTAGGTAAATCTAGAACTGCAAAGGTGGTCAGTGAAAGGCATAACGCCAACGGTAGGGGTTAGGGATAGGGCTGGGTGGGTGCCACGTACCTTCACACTTCTAGAGTCTGGTGCCTGGTTTACCTTTTTTGCACTGCACACCTGAGCCACACCATTACTGAATCGAGTCAGCAGATTACAACGTTGTTTTTTTCTCAGCAGAAAGCAAGCCAAGGTGCTGAAGTCACTGTTTTTGTCCTGGGAAGACTTTCAGTTTTCCCAAAACTTAAACAGGCAGGCAACCCTAGCTCTGCCATATGCACAAGTTGGTGCTGTGCAAGAGGTATTGCAAGCGTGTTGGGTGAATGTTTGTAATATATATGATGGTTTATAGATAACTCTGGTTTGTTTTATTTTCTTTACAGAAATTGGTGTTTCTAGTACAATATCAGGTAAGACAAACTAAGTGCATGACATACGTATATGGCATGTATAAAACGACATTTACTCACGTTACACCATGTGATTTTGTAGTGGGCTCAAACAGAGACTCAGACGTACTCTTTGGAGGCAACACATTTACGTAACACCAACACTGGTTAACACTGTTAACACTATACAACCTATGGTGGTGACCACCAGGCGAGCTACACTAATCCCTCAGTAGCTAGCTTCAATGGTCCGGACCATAGCTTGGGTCCAGGTCCACGTGTTGGAGACTCATCTGGACGTCGAACGTAGAATGCAGGTTTATTTAGGATAACAACAGAAGCCGGTCCCACTAGGGGACCCAGGTTATATCCTCTGTGGTGGGGCTCGCTCCGTCCCTATCCACGACCACCTTCTAGAATCCTCGAGGAGGATTTCGACCTGGACACGTGATCACCCCTAGCCCCCCTTGAGGGTCCCTGTGTAGCCACAACTGCTCACGTGTTTTCCGGCATCAACCAGAGTGCCATGGCCCTTATAACCCAATTCCGTGGCTGGCAACTCTCGCACCCTATTATGTAGGGGCTGGCACTATACGCAGAGCGTGGTGCCATCCAGCACTATCAGCCAGTGCTCACCGAGCCCCGCTAGGGCCGATACTGCATCCAGATTCAAGTAGTGTCCGAGATATCAATATATCGCACGCCATGCCTCTCCCAAGCCGGCTTCACACAGTGACATCCAACAATGTCACTCCACTTTGAAAACAGTATGTTCCCACCACGTGTGTGTTTGTGTACTACTTTTTCCCGTGTTATTTGTTTGACTAACACAAAATTATTCCAAACGTGGAGTATATGAGTAACAAAACACACAGACAACGTATTCTTCCTTTATCTGTCCTGCCACATCAAATAACGTATTTAAAGACAACCCATTGGCCTCACGGCTTTCTGGAAGTACACCATGTGATTATATATGTATATCGTTTGTTCATTTGTTCGCATCTCAATCCGCTTGTCCTGGTCAGGGCCACGGGGCAGCATGTTGAGTAGGGCGGTCCAGACCTCCCTTTCCCTGGCGACAGTCTCTAGCTCTTCCTGGAGAATTCCCAGACATTCCAAGGCGAGTCGAGCAACATAGTCCCGCCAACGTTTCCAGGGTCGGTCACGGGATCTTCGCCCAGTGTGTATCATTAATATTTGAAACATTAATTTAAGTATATTTTCATGAACAAGTATAATTGGCCATTGGCGGATGACAAACAATGAGCTCTTTACAGTGATAAAGAGGGTTTAGAAGTCGGCAATTTGTCACCACATGTTTAACCAAGGACACAATGATAACAACACAAGTGTATGCATAATTGATATTGTCCCTGTGCACATAAGCAGACGAATTTTCCTGACGTCCTGGTACAGTTAAACATCACTTGGGCTTAGGAGATGCAAAGCCACTATTGGGCAACTACAGGAGGAAGGCAGATTTTAAAACCTGAGAGGGAAGGACAAAGATGGGGTATACATCTGTGATGCTTAAACCGGGTCATAGGTGAAGATGACCTAACATCCAGGAGACAAGAGGTTGTGGGACCAAACATCCATTTAGGGTTTGCACCAGTAACCTCTTGTCCTGTCAGTGGACGCGTCCTGTGAGTACACCCGAGGTAGGAGAGCTCACAGAAAAAAGTGAATTGACTATATTGTATGTTACACAAGTTGACTCGCTTATTTATCTGGCTTCCTCAGGCTTTTCACTGGGTAACACAGTGCAGTCGCACACCAAGGGCATCTGGGTCTGGCCAGTCTGTCACCCCCGTGACGAGAAGAAATGTCTGTTGCTGCTGGACACAGAGGGGCTGGGCGATGTGGAGAAGGTGACGGGCTGTTGAGGATATACCCTGATGACAAAACATTTGGTGTTAAGAATTATTACATATTACTTGTCTCAATCATATTATGTGTTTCCATACTAAGCACAATGAAAATTATAATTGATTAGTTAATGGGCATGCTGATTCAGCTGTGGAGACGGTACATGTTTTTGTGTGTAGAGCTGACTGTCAAAAAACTCAGCCATAGTGGAGGAACCAGTTTCAGAACCTGTTGGCGCGATCACCTAGAAGGGTAGGCTACTGGTACTCTCCTGGTTGGTAGTGAGTGCCTCCAAGATCTCCGGGCCTAGGTCCAGGCCATCCCTCTGGAGGTCTGCCACTTGTGGACTGGGTCCTGGGGTTGCCTTTCCAACTGTCAGCTCACTCACCACACTCACTACACACTGATATTGGGAGCAATCAGTAACATGGCTTTATGACACCATTCATACATGGGCAGGCCTCTTTTAAGAGTGTTCTGAGTCCCATCTGATATCTCCTAAACAGTGCATCCATTTTATGCATCCATTCATCTGCCCCTGAGGTTCCTTAAAATGGAACAGAATATGCAGGGTATAGTGATCCCTGTGCGTCTGGCAGCATCGTATACAAAACCAGGGAAATAATTGCTTACAAAGATCACAGAATACAGTTCGTAGTGGATTATGTAGTAGTTCAATTCATCCTTACTGAGAGTCCAACATATGTATGTGAAGAACTGCGGCTCATCAGCTGGTACATGCAAGAATACAGTCCTCTATCTGAGGCTGCTGGCATCCTTTGCTAGGATGAGCTCGAGGAGAATATTATATTAAACTAAAATAATGGTGTAGTTCAGGCTATTCTTCAGCATGCTAATTGCATCCAGGCAGGAACACCTAAAGGGATTCTTAGGGGTATTACTTTGGTTATGGGCATGTAAATGTCAATATCTCATAAGAAACTGGTGGTAGTTTGGTGTGACCATCCCTCAGTTATGTTCCATGAATGTCTGAACCCGCTTCTCGATTTCCTAGTGCCCCAGGCACACCCCTCCCTCATGTGAGGAAACACAGACAAGGCTTAAACTTAAGATGGGCTGCCTTCAGTTTCTGAGACACCTTGTGGAACCTGGAAGGATGCTCAGCCATACTATTGCCAAATAGAAATCACATCATTCAGGTGTATCAAGTATTTTTCTCACTATAGGAACCACATCACCAGCACTGCCAGTCAATACCGTCTTTGCTCTATCAACCTCAGACATAGACAGCTTCCGGTAGCTGGACGCCACATATAATGTGGAAAACTGCCATGCAACTACAAGGTTGTCAACGGGAGTGTTATAGTGGTTCTATACTCTTTGGTTCTATTCGGTAAAGTCACGTAGGTAAAAAACAAGAACAAAAATCACGACGTTTCGGCCACAACACAAGCGGCCTTCGTCAGGTGAAGGGACCAGACTGTCTCGAAGACTGCGCTGTAGTGAAACAGAGCCAAGCTCAGACTACGACCTTTAAGCTGTGTGAGAGGGATTAAGGTGCCTCGACAAAGGAATTAGCATAAACAATTAGCATTTGATTGACGGACTTAGCATGATGAAAGGTGTAGCACATGGCAGTGCACCTTTAAGCTGTGTGAGAGGGATTAAGGTGCCTTGACAAAGGAATTAGCATAAAAATTAGCATTTGATTGGCAGACTTATCATGATGAAAGGTGTAGCGCAGTGATCGGCACTGGCAGTGCACCAGCATGTGCTGCGAAAGTTTGGGGTACTACTACTTGAAAAAATATATACTGTACCAATGAAAATTAGTTTAGAATTTTGGAAATCTTTTTAGTAACGCAAGATCCAGGTCCGGTTCAATACAGTACATAAAATTCGTGATCTGATCCCATCCGTGAAGGATGTCATTCCTGACTTACAGTACCCCGGGGTTTACAAATTGAGTTGTACCTGCGGTGATTCCTATATCGGGGAGATGAAACGACATGTCTCTGACCGAATTCGCGAGCACAAACCAGATTTGAAACACGGCAGAACGAATTCTTCTGCCGTGGCTGATCACTGTTACAACGCTGTGGGTGATCACGATATAATTTTCTCCGATACCAAGGATCTTTGCAAACCCCCAGGTTTTTATCAGAGATTTGTTCATGAGGCAATTCAGATCTACAAACACAGACACAATTTCAACCGAGAAGATGGTTTCAAATTAAGCAACCATTGGAAAGATGTTCTAAATCGAACCAAACATTAAACTAATTTTCATTGGTACAGTATATTTTTTCAAGTAGTGGTACCCCGAACTTTCGTAGCACAGGCTGGTGCACTGTCGGTGCCGATCACTGTGCTACACCTTTCATCATGATAAGTCCGCCAATCAAATGCTAATTTTTAACGCTAATTCCTTTGTCAAGGCACCTTAATCCTTCTCACACAGCTTAAAGGTCGTAGTCTGAGCTTGGCTCTGTTTCACTCGAGCGCAGTCTTCGAGACAGGCTGGTCCCTTCACCTGATGAAGGCCGCTTGTGTTATGACCGAAACGTCGTGATTTTTTTTTACCTACGTGACTTTACCGAATAGAACCAAAGAGTATGGATCCTTGCAGTCACGAAAGCTTCAAATCTAGAATATGGTGGTTCTTTATCAATAATCAGAATTTTTATATAATTCAGGCTGTCCTGAGGGTCTTCTATTACTCTTTATCACAGGTCTCGATCATATTTTCTCATTCCCTATGTTCCTCCTCTGTTCCACACTGAAAATAAATTGCAAATGCCACCTTTTGGGTCAATTAATTAATCATCACGAATAGTCAGCGAAGTAACATTGTGCCTACCATGTGGACTCTTGGGACAGCATTCACAAAACTGATCTTACTGCGATTTCAGTGTCACAATTAATTTGTTTGATCCATGTTTCAAGGAGGTGACTATAGAGACAGTGCCATTCTATTAAAGGTCGCTGTCTGCTTCAAACGTTGACTGCCAATTGAAGTGAGCAGGTTGCTGGAGTTTGTGCATCAAGATGGGCAATGCGTCTACAAAGTTACCTGTTTCCTTCGAAGTAAGCTCTCAATCAATAGGAAACTGGTCAGTAATAGGTGTAATCGTGACATTTATCACGAAATTGAACCATCAGACGCCAAAAAGGCGTTTTTGGCAACGCCTGTTGAAGGGCTGCAGCTGACCCAAATCAGCTTGAAGAAATGGCCAAAAAAAATGAAACAGTAGTGATAGACTCTCCATTTGGTACCCCGACTTTGAGACCAAATGCAGTTTAGACCATTTATTGTTCCTGAGGACAGACCAATTCGGTGAATGACATGAGGCCTACATCGTCCATCAGAGGTCTGTGCAGGTCCTCAGGTAGACAAATTCCTCCAGTGTCGACAGCATTGCCATTAATTACGCAGGGTGCTTCTGGAAATTAGGCAAGTAGAGACAATGGACAAAAGTGAATGAAATTAGTGGCTTTACGCAGCCAGACATTTTTTAAACAAATGTTGCCTAATATAAATGTTTTTATAAAGGCTTTTATCAAGTTCATTCATGAATGTTGCTTCAAATATCGGTTTGATTGGAATCGAATCTCTATTTGGTTGAGAGAACAAGTGATTCTAGAATAGAGGTGCAACAACTAATAACTATGCTTGGTTGTATCATGCAGCCTATGTACCTAACCAATACATTCCCAGCTTGCTCTTATTTATCCGGCTAAAGGACATGAAGCAGTTATAACATGCACGAGAGAAGACGTGGGCTGATGGGTTAAGAGTTAAACGGGAATCTGGAACTGAATTGATCGGTGATTGCGGGAAGGATTTGGAGTTGAATGACGTTGTGTGATGATTGCTCAAATCCTTGAACGGTCTGGGCAATCCCATTCGTGAGCCCATTTGGCAGGGAAGGTTGCCTTGGTAGGGCCATGTAGCCCTCATGGCCAGCCACTGCATACCTAAGCAGCTTCTGTGTGGCTGGATAGAGGGGGTTAAATGAGCACGGTGCAGATGAGATAAAAGATGGGGTGTTATATTATGCGACGATTTTGAGCTGATTAAACTTGCCACGAACAGTACCAGTGGTGTAAACATTGGACCCTGTAGAGGGGACTCATGAAGAACTCTACCAGGCAGTTGGAGGAAGTTGGCCCTCCAGCAACTACGGAGGGCGAAGGCATATTCACAAAAATGAGCATCATGACGGGTGGCTAAACACATGGTGACATTGGGAAGCACAGGTGGTACATCTGCCAGTCATCTCAGTTACTGCGTGCTTGTGAACTTAACACTTCATGTGGCCTCAAACTGCACCTATTCGAGTATAAATGTCATGGTGATATCACCTCAATTTAGTGGTGAATTATGGACATGTGTATGTTGATTTTATATTCATTTGTAAGAATCTTATACTTTCACCGGTTACTTTCTCATTTGTGTACATATTTATCATTCAGGAAATGAAATTTTTCCAGATTTTGCTTCAAATAATTACGAGCGGGTTGATGGTGATTTTCTGACAGGGAATCAGGATTCAAACCAAATTTATTAAACCGTGGTGGCTGAGTTATCTAGCTTGAGACTGAGCAAAGACATGAGTGAAAATTAACTTTTGGCCAGCCAAATCAATTATCTGGCTAAAAGGTTGTTGTGTATCCCTTCAATATCCGATACAGTCAAACATGTCTAGAAGTGTTTAAAGCTCCAAATATTACATTAGCACACCGGTAATTTGAAGAACAATTCTCAAAACCACATTTTTCAATTAGATATGACATTTTGCTTAAAACTTGCTCAAACATTCAGGCCAAAAAGCCCAGAAAATAAAATAATAACATTAACTATGAAAACATAAGTATAAAAATAGGTGCAAGTGTTAAATTAAATACAGCATGGTCTTTCTACAGTAGATAACATAATCATAAGGTTATTATTCAAATATCACGTTACATATGTAGTGGGTTCAACTGAGTCGCAGCCGTATACTTGGAGGCAACACATTTATTAAACTCCAAAACAAAAGGGGTAACTTTCCCTTAACAGAACAACAACCTATGGTGGTGACCACCAGGCTAACTACACTAGTTACAATGCAACTGCTACTACAGACCGGGACCACAGCTCAGGTCCAGGCCCACGTGTTTGAGACTCTTTGATTGGAGAACGTAGAATGTAGATATAGACTAAGGTTTCTTCAGGATGAACAACAACGCCGGACCCTCTGGGAACCTGGCTTATATTCTCTGCGACGTGGCTGCCTCCGCACTTGGTCACGACCATCTTCCAGAATCCTCGGGAAGGATCTCGATGCTAACCATGTGAACACCCCTAGCCCCCACTTGGGGCCCTTTGTAGACTTAACCGGTCACGTGTCCTCTCAAGTCAACTAGAGTGCCATGGCCTTTAGTAACCTCATTCCTACGGCCAGCACTCCCACACCCTGTCCTGTAGGGCTGGCACTGCGCGTCAAGCGTGGTGCCATGTCGCGCTATCAATCAGCGCTCACTGGGCCCCTCTAGGGCCGGTACTACACCTCTGATTTCTGCACCTGATTGGGTATAGTGATTGGGTTCAGTTATTAAATAATACACATCACAACTAATTACTAATCTACAACTCATTACTAATGACAATTAACTGATTCCTAATCTTTTACATAATTACAACCCCCCCCCCCCCCCTTTCCGTATCTGACCTCTGCACCTGATTGGGTTAAATGATGATGTCACCCTGCTGCTCTATTTAAGACTGGGAGCAGGTGGAGGGCTTCACTATTCTGGTAAATTGCCCAATGATGCTGGATGTAATAACCAGCGAAACGTCATACAACACACCAGTGGGCTAAAGTAGTGAACTATTTGTCTTTTGTCAACGGGACACATTTTTTACTGCTTCGCCGTGTCAGGTGGTGGAGAGTTGCGACACATTTATAAATAACGCGATATAACCGAAAAACCTTTATTATGAAGAGCTTTAATGCAACACTAATACACTAAATCAGCAATAACAAAAGCACAAACACCAAGGCATTGGAAAATAAGTGCACGGGTAAGACATATTGGTGTATAATTTAAAAGACACAAGTTGTCCTACAGGCCAATGGGGAGTATGACATCTGGTTGTTCGTCATGGCCGTGCTGCTCTCCAACATCCTGGTCTACAACACCGTGGGGACTTTGGACCACTCCGGCCTGGAGCAGCTGCAGTATCCTTTTGAGAGCGATCAGTTACTCACATGGCAGCACATTAAGCAGAGAGAGGCGAGATACCTGTGTGGTTTATAGGCCCAGACCAACGTAGCCTCTACAAGGCCTAAGCTAGGCCATTTCAGAGTTAGCAATGGACTTTGGGCAGAGGCTAAATAAATGGCATTACTCTCTGTGATGCACATCTCCGGATGAGAACATTTCAGTGATAGACATATCACAATTCTCATATCATCATTATCCATGATCGATCCGTTGTTGCGGCCTCCCCAAACCATCATCACCTTTCACATGCTTATATTGCAATGATCCACTTAGCTCTGACACGCCAGTTGATTTCGTAACTTCATGAAGATTTTGGCCTTTGCATAGAGTTTCATGCAGGTGATCTTATTTATAAAAGTCTCTGCGTGCTTGAGATGGATTTGGCTCTCGAACGGTGGTGTTTATGTCGAAAAAAAATTGACAGCCAGTATGCCCTAAGCCCCGCGGTGGGAATAGGCTATTCCTTTTTCATGTCCGACACCTTTAAATTAGTAAAATTAGCGATTTTGTGGGATTTCGATCTATTTATTTATTGCGCGACATCGGCCGTATCAACTCACGCCAATTGGTGGGGGAGCGGACCCTGCCAAGTGATGCGTGTTCGGCCGAGCTCACGGGGGGCATTTTCGCATTTCACATGCAATAAATAGACATAACGCTGCGGCTATTTCTTCACAGTGTCATGTCCTCTTTACCCCCCCCCACCCCAAACACGTTGCATGCAGTTAATACTACAGAGTCCGTAGATAATAATATTATACTGCTTACAAAGTATTATTGTTGCACTTGCGGGGGGATGGTGGGGGGGGGGGGGGGGTGCGGGGGTAGCGGCCCAGCCCCCAGCCTGGCAACGTGTCACCTCAGCCACCTCGGCAATGTAGGCCAGGACGGGGGTTCCACATGGGACTAGGCCTCACCACGGCTATGGTAAGTACAAATTTCCTTGCTTCTTACGTGAAGAACTCAGCTTCATTGTTTACTATTATGAAACAAATAAGTTCACAAATATTACAATAATAATGTTTGTGTGCAGATAATAACTCAGGTTCATTGCTTACTATTATGAAACTAATACCTTGCCAGATATTACATTCATAATCTTTGTGTGCACATAACAACTCTGGTTCATTGTTTACTATCATGAAACAATAGGTTTCCAGATATTACAATAATTATGTTTATGTGCAGATAATTACTCAGGTTCATTTCTTACTATTATGAAACTAATAAGTTGCCAGATATTACAAGTATGTTTGTGTGCACATAACAACTCAGGTTCATTGTTTACTCTTATGAAACACAAGTTGGCAGATATTACAATAATTATGTTTGTGTGCAGCTAAGCACTCAGGTTAATTGGTTACTCTTATGAAACAAATAATTTGACAGATATTACAATAATAATGTTTGTGTGCAGATAACAACTCACGTTCATTGTTTATAATTTTTAAACAAATAGTTTGGCAGATATTACAATAATTATGTTTGTGTGCTGATAACAACTCAAGTTCATTGTTTACGATTATGAAACTTATAACTTGGCAGATATCACAATAATTATGGTTGTGTGCAGATAATAACTCAGGTTCATTATTTACTATCATGAAACATAACTTGGCAGATATTCCAAAAATAATGTTTGTGTGCAGATAAGAACTCAGGCTCATTGTTTACTATTGTTAAAATAATACGTTGACAGATGGTCTACTGCCAGTCTGTCATGTGGCCTGCTGCCTGCTGATTAATTAACGTTAGTGCTCTGCCACTCTATTATCTACACTGCTAATTTAGCTTTTGCCCATTACGAGTGTATGCCAGTTCATAATCTGTTGCCTGCTTCTTCACCTCACTCAGTGTACTCACAGCCTTTCATGTCGACTCTATTTTCCTTTTTCAGCTGCTGCCCATATTACCAGCTTTTTATATCGACTACAATGCTTATATCATTGAGTCGGCATACTGGCAGTATATAATATAGACTGTAGCCTGCTTCTCAACTTACCTGTGCGTTCTAGATTTGAAGTTTTCGTGACTACAAGGATCCATACTCTTTGGTTATTTCGATAAAAGTAAAACAATAATAAATAAATAATAAATTACGTCGTTTCAGAAGCAACACAAGCGTCCGTTATCAGGTGGGACAACCACAGTAAGAAACAACATTACTGTAGTGGGCAAAGAGAGCTGTAGAGCTGCAGCACCGAAGCGATTGGGATATTACCATGTTAATAACATCCTTATAGAGGAATGTGCAGCAGGCACAGCTGGTGAGATACAATGCCGGAGCTGGGTAACGAGCGGGTCTGGGAGGGGGGGGAGTAGCGTGCTGTAAAAACTGGGAATGCGGGTATGGAAGCAAGATATGAAAGCAATTTAAGATTTTACCTGGTTAATAACATCCTTCCCTGACTTCGCGAGCACAAGGCGGATTTGAAACATGGTAGAACTGGGTCTTCCGCAGTTGCTGATCATTGCTACAATGCTCTGGGCTCTCATTGTTTTTTTCCGAGACCAAGGTACACTGTAAACCGTCAGGCTACTTCTAGATTTACAGTTTTCGTGACTGCAAAGGTTGGTGACGCTTCATCTGATCTGCGTCTTGCACACTTGCATCCAACAAGTTCCACTGCTTGAGCCTAGACGTCAAAAGCCCGGCATTGGACTTCGTAAGACCAAGATCTCTGATCAAATTGTTGAGGTCTTTTTGGTTGGGGTAGTATGGGCTTCTCTCCTCAGCTCCACCTCTGAAATTGTCATCTGGATCTACAACGTCTTTCTCGCTCTCTGAATTGTTTTTTTCTAAAAACGGCTGCTCTTTCTCCGGAGGAGTGGGTACGGGAAGCTCATGGCAGTGTGGCACCGGGGCAATGGATGAAGGAAGGTCCGGATATGTGATAGCAGGTGCATTCTTGCCAGTCCGACGTTTGGAATGGTCCACCATGCAGAAGTAGCAGTTGCTTGAGTGGCCAGTGGGATTGCGAACTTCATGGCTCTCTTTTCCCCTCTGTACTATCTTAAAAAAAAAATGTATTTCATCCATGAATAATTTTAAGCGATTCTCCCAACATTTTTCATGTATATATATTTTCAATGACATTGAAAATGTTAAACATTTTAAAATTAAAAAAACTTTTTCAATTGAAATTTACAACATATAATTCCGAGCAACAATTGTCCATCTTACCTTCCAGAGTGTTTTTGCATTGCTCGCAGGTTAAATGAGGTGCCCAGGGTTTGTCTTGATCCCCGACAGGTATGCCGAAATATGCCTTTTTGGCCTCACACATCCTAGCAGACGCTTCCACAGAGTACTTTTTCGCTCTCGTCTTGATAAATTGGCCAAACATTGCAAAATGCGTCTGCTGGATGCTTGCAGCCTCTTGATGCCATCTCATAAAAATGCAGATATGTATCCACTTAGGCAGCTGGAACTAAACTGAACGGCTTAAGGCCCCTGTATTTATACTACTATTTATATTTCTGTAAAGTTATTGAATTTTCTAGGAGTTACTCCATGTTTACTCAACACTGAATCTATCTGAAATGTTCTGGAAAAAAGGTACATTTCAAAATATCAGTGTCCTGGTCACAAAAGCAAAGTTGATGGGGAATAATAGCCATTTTCTCTACTTTTGAGGTATGAGCAATTAGGAAATACCACTTACTACCCAGGAACAAAAAAGTAAAAAAAATGTTACACAGTGTTAACAATGTGTGTTGTTACTTTTTGAAAAGCAGAAATAAACTACGGACAGCCTTTCCTTTCGTGTGGAGAGCAATTAGTAAACAATCATATCTGGATTTGGATTCTTTTTGGGATTATTTATTGTTAGTTAAATATATGTATTTATTGATTGGGATAGCCTTTCAAGCTTACCCCAAATTTCAGCTACAATAAGTGTAATTGTGCCGACAGTACAAATAGGATGACAAGGTAAGGATTTAAAGGTCATAAAAACAAATATTACTGGTGCCACCGCACCCTGCTTCCTTTACAATAAATGAAGTATTTGTTGTAAATTCGACTCGTTCTTTAAAGACCATTGTTAAATTATTCTAAAAACTGTCTTTCGGTCTCCTACTTGGTCGCTAACCTCTTGCTGCCACACCAATGCCTGGCTTGGTAAACCTGCTGCATCTTGCACATGCCCCACTCATTGCAACGAATTCAATGTGAAATAAACTACTATTTACTGCAATTTCTTATTCAATTTTACATTTCTTTACCTATCCTTGATTTATAGACAACTAGCGGTAAGTACCCGGCATTGCCCGGGCGAAAAAGACAGACACATCGACCTACACACAGACTTTGACCTACACACACAAAGACATCGACTTACACAGACACACATATGGATTCATACACACACACATACATAGACTCTCACACACACATCGACCTAAGCACACATATGGACTTACACACACACACATCGACTAAGAGATACACACATGGACTTACACACACACATGGACCCACGCACACACATCGACTTACACACACACACATAGACTCACGCACATACATTGACTTACACACACATATATGTACTTACAACAACAACATCCGCCATTCGCCGCTAAGTGGCGGTGATGTCACCACGACACTTGGGCCAGGCCATGTGCACATTGAGGCCACGTGAAGCGTCGAACGCCTGCTGGCAGGAGGTCACGGGGCAGACCCAAGTGCCACGGGTCGACTGACTAAGATGACTGAGATGGCTGCCTGATGCACCACCTGTGCCCCCTACTGTGCTAACCTGCTGTGCTTTAGCCACCCGGCGCTCCGCTCGTTGTTGTGAGCGTCGCTCCTCCGCCCTCCGTTGTTGTTGGAGGGCGACTGCCTCCAACTGCCCAGTAGCGTCCTTCACGAGCCTCCTCCACAGAGGCCGATCTTGACACCACTGGTACCAGTCATCGGCAAGTCCACTCAGCTTCACGTCCTCCTGTA